CAGTACTTGATAAATTACTTGAAAAGTATACTTTTTCAATTCAAGATGTAACATTTCTGCTTATAATGCAATATTCAACGATCTTTAACAATCTCAGATGAGATATAATAAGGCAAGTGGGGGTATTCAATTACAAAAGTTACAGAACTAGAAAGCAAAACTTCGATATAAATTTTTGAAATTATCAGACTTGTCACCACAAATGCTACGACAGTTGCGAAGGGCAAGAAAAGCGAATCTTATGAGAAGTTCCGATAGAAAAATTAATTCAAATTATGACTGGCTTTTTGTTTCAGTTCTGAGAACTACACGTTGTCAGTTGGTTTTCTGTACATCACATTTTTTCTATAATTGAATTGACTAAGTAAAATTAACATTTCTGATTGTAAGCAAATAAATGCTTTTAATTAGTTGTTTCATTTTTTCGATATTTTTCGTCTTTCATGGTTATTCAGATATCATAATTAGTGGACAGTTGAGAGATTGGCCATAGCTGTAATATAAATTTAGTATTAGCCATATTATTTAAAACTGATAAACTAAATTTTTTTTATTTTACAATGTTTTACTATTTCAATATTTGCTATTATTTGTTGGCAAGCAAATGTCTGACAGATATGAAGTTAAAACATATTAATGATAATGTTTCCATGCATGATAAATTCTCTAGCATTTTGCTGGTTGCTGCATGAAAAATATTACCAAAACACTTCAGCATTATTTTGCTATGATAAAATGTGAGGAAAAATTGTTCTAATCGCAAAATGCAAAAATTGAAAAGCCAACTACTATTTATTCACTACTATGTGCTTACATACTTTGTAGCAATGTTAGGATGGAAATGAGGTCATTTAAACTGTCTACTTTATAACTTTTCATAATTACCTAAAATATAATTCTTAAAGCGAATCCGTACATAAAGTCTTAGCTGAAACATAAAAACTATTTAATTTCATTAAAAGATATAGAAACGTGTAACAGTTATGAACAACTTTTAATAGCAAATGAAGCAGTATTCGTTCTTTAGAACTGATAAGGACTCATGGAAATGAAGAACTTCACTGAAATATTAAAACTTTTAAAATTAATTAAAAATGCATGAATTTTCGTTTTTATTTCTCTGTAATCTATGATTTCGTTTTTCTGCGATATACAAAATTAAGCGTATCAATTTTTTATTTCCAATTTTTTGATTAATATTTGCTCAATAGTTTAATCTTGAAGAGTAATTAATTAGGAATTAAATTTAAAAGTCAAATAGGTACCTTTTTGTATCAAAAGCGCTACAGTCCATGGATGTTCTCCAAATTTTACGTTCTGTCCACCCATAATTTTTACTCTATAATACCATTTCTCACGCCATTTTCCATTTTTTTGTGAAAACGGCAAACCACATTTGCTAGGGTCTGAAAATAGAAATTCAGTACTTGAAATTGAATGGAATTATTAATATGTTTTATTTGAATTTGATATGGAAATTGCAATCAATGAGTCTTATATTAATAGATAATTACAATGAAAAGCACAAATTACATATAATTCATAGAGTAATAACAAATATAATTTCAGATCATCTCACCATAATAAGTCGTATTGGGCATTTCAATAAAATTCTGTTCTGGTTCAGCTGAAAATATTAAAGTTCAAAGTTTAATTTATAATAGAATAACAATAAAATTAACTTAATTTTGAGTAAATTATTAAAAGTGATCAATTTGTTGCCCAAATTGAATAGAGGTGTTTGATTATATTTAGCGTTAATATGAATATATTTCATGTTATTATTGTAAATCATAAATTGAATATCAGCAAGATACTTTAACATCGAATGTTTGTATTAAAATCGACTTCTGAATCACTGAAGAGGATATTTGTAATAGAAGTGAAAAAATTTAAACTCTTTCTTGCTGTATTTTAAATGCCATTGCATTTTCTCAAAACTTCAAAACAGCTAATTCAATTTTTCAGCTTTCTTAATTTTTGATTGTCCGTTTAAAAAAATTTCAAAACTGCAGACGAAATGAAATAAAACTTCAAAAATTAAACTTTGTAAAAGTAAATTTGCATCAGAAATTGAAAGTTCAAAGCAGCATTCAAATTGCGTATACATTTTAATGTACAAAAAAATGCTATCAAATGATTAAGAAATTTAAAGTAAAATTTAAGTAAAACTTCGCTTACCATAAGAAAAACTGAACACAACAGTATATACAAGAAAGAACATTAAGCATAAGTTTTTGAGCCAAAACATACAAATAGTTTGATCTGAGCTGAATAATGTTCATATATGGGTGTGCTCCCTGAATAAATAAATATACACATTCATATATGTAATGAATGCAAAAATAAAAAACAACCACTTTGCATATCAAATAAAATCAAAAAAACAAAAGCATATGCGTTAATTTTATATTTTCGCAGAATATTTGGTGATTAGCTTTGATTACTAATATTGAAATCAGTCCTAATATAAAAAATACTTTGGCGCCCTTTGTCACGCTCAAAAAATTGACCCATTTTGGATTTCTTTTCAGTACTGCATAAATATTTTATACTCCTGCTCTTTTTAGAAAATTTTACAAAAATTTAAATAAAATAATATTTTGCTTTAGTGCTATGATTAAGTATGTATTGCAATTCTACAAAATTCTGCAGATCATACCATTCTTAAAATTGTCATTATAGAAATAATCATAAGACTCACAAATATCTATCTACCCTAGTTGTGAGCACATATGTGGTCATTTTACAAAAATAGTTTCAATATTTCTTAATATATAAAAATAACAATCATTTTTACAAGCAATATTTCTAATTTTAATAAAATCAAATATTGAATCTAATGTTTTTTTTTTGGTACTTGCTAACTTAATTGGTTAATTATTTAGATAACTTTAATACTTTTTAGTTTCATTAAATGACAGTAAAAAACTTGAAAAATGGAGCCTGGAATTGTTTATTTGCAAAAACTAAATAAATAATAATTAAAATAGCATTTTTCGACTACATTTTGAAAGCATTGATAATTTATGACACTCACTGAAATACACCGTAAGCTTATTATGTAATGGTGCAATAGAAAAGTAGCTGCAAGAATTGAAGGTTAAAAAATACTTAATATAAATAAAATAAATACGAAATTCATGACCAATCTGCATGTTTGTAAAGACTGTACCTGCCAAGGAACAAGCCAAGACGTAGACTTCATAGTGTTGAGCAGAGGAGTGAGCTCATGCCTCTTGACATAATGGTCTTGTAAATACCGCGCCCACATGTACCAGAAGGGCAGCGATTTTGAAGCAGGATAAAGCTCATAACATGCACTGAGCGATTATTCAACCCTCAGACTAGATACAGCTTCGAAGAAAATCCAACTGCCGAAAACGTATTAGCAGCTCAGAAATCTCGTCCACAGCTAACTCATCAAGTGGTTACGATACGGAAACGTTATCTTGCAAGATGAAGCACAATACTGTAACTTCCAAAATAGAAATATGCCTGGAGTTGAGAGAGGTATGTGCAAATGTTGCTGGGAACGTGTGAACACGGTGGACCATC